CTCAGTTGCTCTTGACAAAAGTGCCTTGCTCAGCTGCAGTCAAAAAGGCATATAAATTTCAGGAATTACTAAGAAAGGAAATGAGAATCCAACTGAAAAATGTTAATGTCATTCTGTAAATTTCCAGTGCATTTGGTGTCTCAGATGCTATATGTGGTTCTGGTCAAAAAGAATGCAATAAAACTAGGAAAAGTACTAAGAAGTTTGACAAGATTATTATCATACTGTGCACTATGAACAACTTCTATATTAGGAAGTTTTTTACACTATTCACATCATTAAATTGTAGAATCCATTGCCACAGGATTCTGTGAAGTTCAACCGCAATAGTACAGATCCACCTAATACAGGTATGTTGATTACACCTGACTTCAGTGAGGTTTGGTTTAGGTTGAAGTAGATATTGACAGAGCTATTGGAGACTACTGAGAAGGTAATAGCTGACATACTTTGGCTTATGTGAATTTGGGACATAATTATTTAGGGTTGTGAGATGCATGTGAGCAAGATACTGTCCTGGTTTAACAAATAACATAACAAATGCTGGTATTCTGTGGGATGGGGAAGGCAGTGGACCCCGATGGTACATTACAGTGAGGTTGCTTTTCAGGATTTGTGCATCAGCAGAAGCCTACAAACTGGCTGGCATCTGTAATGCTTTTGTGGTTCCAGGAAATTAACCATGAAATACCTGTTGACTTCACACAAGACATGTAATTATGTCTGTGCATTATGCTCAAATTAAGGATATGATCCGATTCTCCAGAAATTTATGTTCCTTCAGAGGACTCTGCCTCTCTTCTCCAGTTTTGTAAATGTATTTTATAGAGAAATATACTAAAAATCTATTAACACAAAATAGGTAATCTCTAGTAACAAGTCTGTTTCAGAAACTGATTTTGCTACCATGTGCAACATACACACATAACTGTTCCTGTCTGGCCTGTTATTTCCAACTCCTACACCTGTTTCACATCTTTTCCAATAGTGCATTTGTACTACAGGTTCCTTGGTGCTCTACTGAGGGCTTGAGAGCCTCCCTTCTTCTGTGGAGGATCACATCTGCCTCCCAGACTGTAATGCACATACAACTTCAGGAAAATTTCTTCAAGTCATGTCTCCATTCTAGGACTCCCGTCATCACTGCCTCTGGATCTCTTATACCAAGAACAGAGCTTCTTGTTTTCTCAGCGGAATATGAGCAGTTGGTGGTTTGTTCAGTGTTCGTTACTCAGCCCAAAAAAGAAAAAGTAGAATTATTTAAAATGGAAAGTGACCATAGCAGCCAGGTAAACAAGAAACCCATGTGAAATAAAGCCAGACAGAGAGACAGTGTACGTTTGCATGCTCCTGCTCTTCGCAGTAGGTTCTAGACAGGGATTTGTATCTCAAAGTATTTGTATCTCGGTTTTCAGTTTAGGTGTCTTCCTATTAAGAATTTGAGGTGATCATGCCTACACTGCTGCATATAGCCCACTAGGAAAAGAAATACTAGCTCCCTAGTTACACCATTTGGGATGTTTCTGAATCTACTGCTTTGACACTCTTCCTGGAAATCATCTTCCAATTGAGCATACCTGGATCTGGGTGCTAGGAAATCTCACAGTGCAAGCTGAGAAGTAACCTGGTCCATAAGAATTTTTTTCAAGCTACTCTTCAAGTGTCTCATTCCTGTGTGAAAGATTACATGTGTGTATATATAGTAGACAAGTAAAAACATCTTTAGTTATGTGGAATTTTTTTAAAGTAAGTGTCATCATTATTTTCCATCTAGAAATAGCTCTCTGAGTATCAGCAACTAGTAGTCCCAGGCTGAGAAAGGAAAAAGTCTGGAATGAACTCTCCTGAACAGAAGATGAAAGAAGGTGTTTTTAAACTCTTGGCTGGCTCAACAGTGGGCCCAGACACACAGCAAGCTCAGCTTTGTTTAGTAAGTGGTGTAAGTTCTTCCTGTAACACGCCTTAAAAGGGAAGTTCTGACTGAGGTAGCAGTTTAGCTGTGAGTCATGCAAGTGAAATGTTAAGTCTGTTTCTCAGACAAAAGCAAATCCAAATTCCTGAAAGTGGTCTCACCCCTGAGACTCAGCTTTGTCTTTGCTAGCTGGAAGCAACAAAAATAAATGAGAAAACTTCTTTCCAGTCATCTTAATCAAAAAGTCTGCTAAGGTCCCTGATAAATAATTAGAGGGACTGGAGTACAGAGTGACATGCAGAAGAGTTCTGGAAACATCTTTGTAATTCCACTCCATTCGTTACCATGGAGATCTCAGAAAATGGCAGGTTTGGTGTTTGCCAGTTGAACAGCAGGTTGTGCACCTGAGACAACTTTTTTGTCTTTTCCAATTCGTCTTCCATGAGGGGCTAACCTTTCTCTCCTGCAGCTTATATATCTCTGTGTATCACTCCCTCAGCAAAAACCACTGTGTTGTGAATATGTCTACAAGTATTAGCTTGAAGAATGCTCAGTCCTAGTAAGTCACAAGATGCTGAATACTAAAAATCTAGAGAACACGAAATATGAACTGCCAGCACAGTCAGCAGCAAATCCCACATATCTGGCATCACAAACCTGGCAAAGCCATATTAATTATAATTGTTTTATTGCTATTTAGCAGAATATGTTTCTCAGCAGCAATCCTTGGCACAAGACAGGTACTGGAGCAAGAAGGATAGAGGGGAGGAGAAGGATCCCAATACCTGGGATAGATATCTGGCCAATGTACAGTGACTGGACAATGATGTGCCAATGAATGGGCAGCAGGCAGGAGTTTGCCTTCTCCAAGTAGGCTGCATCTGTGCAGCAGAGTAGCTAGATGCTCTGCATTCTACTGATACTTTGTTTTGTTTTTTCATTTCCTAGCAATCACTGCAAACTGTCATTTGTAGGGCTTTCTAGTCTAGGTTACACAAGACCTGCTAACAGGAAATGCCAGCAGCTCTGTTAACCTTAAAGATTCAGGTCCGATTTTAAAATAATGTTTAAATTGGTAATTGAGAATACTAAACGTTCTCATTAAAAGTTTTCATAGTCAAAGCTGCGAGCAAGGCTCACTGTGCCCTCTAGTGTGCACAGTCTGTAGCTCCACTGTCCCCCCAGAATGGCATGAGGGAAATGAAGCTGGTTTTTTTAGCCGTGGATTGGCATGGCAGATTTCTGCAAGTCCTCCACGTTGCCCACACAAGACAAAGACTAGAATTACAAGGCACTGCACTGAGCCTGTTGTACTTCATCTGACACGGTACCCAGAGACAAGGCACAAACACAGTTATTGTGGTCTGATGGGAACTGACACATGAACGGCTGTATTGCCTAAGCACAGATCAAGCATATAAGTTTGCAAGTGAGGAAAGAAAAATTCTGTGCTCTGGTTTCCTGTTGCCCTAGATAAAGCCTATATAAAAAAAACCACCCTGTTGAATATGAGTATTTCTAGCAGCTTTACAGGTGCGGAGATGAATACTATTCCACTTACCTCTACAGTTTTTGTCCTGTCAAGTTCTAAACATAGCTGGTCCTAGATCTTTAAGTATGTATGGGGCTATACTGACATCTCCCATGTTCTGTATTTGTCTCAGGCCTGGTCTTTGCTAGCAGTCTCATCCCCAGATTGCTTCATTATCCTCTTAATGTCTTTAGTCTGATGACCCACTATTTGCTGTTCTTTCTTTGTCATTAAATTTGCCTACGCACAGATGATGCCTTGTGCCAGTAGCCTGAAGTCCATTCAGCAGTGCAGTCTCAGGAAGAGGATGGCTAAGGTGTCTGAGCAGTCCCCTAAACAATTCCGTTAACTGCGTAACACTTAACTGTTAATGTCCAGAACATGAAGGCAATGCAGGGTTGCCACTCACTGCTGCAGAGCCAGTCTGATTCTGCCTACTGAAATAAGGTGGTGGGAGGGTATCCTGCAATTCAGACAAGGGCAGCACACATCATGAGATACTGTTTGTAGGCCATGCATGCAAGGTTCTTGGCCTCTGTGTCTTAGATACTCTACTCCTTTCATACAGAATCACCTTATTAGTATCTGATGTGATTTGTCTGGTTCTGTGATTCTATCCATTTTCAGGCAACTCTTCTCCAAGTCTTCTGATCATAATGCTCTGATAACATTACCTTTTAAAAGCTGCTGATATCTCATATTCTGACACTTGCATTAATATGTTGGAGGAAAAAAAATGTAAAGTAAATATGCTGGAATATGCCTGCCCAGCAGGCAGTAAAGTAGCCACTTGTCGTAAAAGGAAGATGCCACGCTCCAGATCACTGTAGACAAGCTTCCATTCTCTGCAGTGGCCAAGCTCAGGACTATTGCTGAGTTTATAACCTCCCCCAGGCTGTTCTTCCCACTCATTATTTTGCCAGAGGGTGCAAATTCATTGTTTCATTCACTTCCTCTAACAGCGTTCAAGGGGTTCCCCCAATTATCCTATTCTTTCCAACAGCAATCAGATTTTTCCCCAGCCAAAGCATAGATTTCAGAGCAACATCACACCGTGATGCGTACAGAGTGACACCACCTTTCCTGAAGATCTTCAAATGTTCTTTTTTATGTACTGACAGGCAACTGATAGAGCATAGCTGCCAAGTAGCTTTGTAAGTTCCACCCCTACATAGCAGTACAGCACATTTCCAGCCTGGGTTTCACAGAAATAAGCCCTCTACCAATGTTAGATTTTTTTTGCCTTACATTCCTCACTGAAGAGTTGTAAGGTGGTTCTGGATAGTATGGTGTATGTTCTTCCTGGACTGAGTTGCCCTTGGGACGGGAAGTTTGGGGGGTGGAAGTCTTCTCATTTGCCTTCATGAGATTCTCCAGGAATTCTGAAGAAATCATTGGTCCCCTTTTGTGGCGAGAGCAACTTTTCTGTATAACAGGTGTTCTTTGTGAGGGCCAGAGACCACTGTTACTTACAAATGTGTGGTTTTGACAAAATAGGTAGCAGACTTTGGGAAGAGAAACCTTCTTAAATTCTTGTCTGATTCTGATTTTTCATAGGACTCTATGTATTGGTGGGAGCAGGGGCTCTCATGACCACAGTTGGATTTTTTGGGTGCTGTGGAGCAGCGCGGGAGTCTCAGTGCTTACTTGGAGCAGTAAGTAAAAGGTTTCAAGGGCCTGGGCTGCACAGGAAAATCATTCAAAAGCATATGCTTTTGTGTCATTAGTAGAAAGATCTTTGCTGTCCAAGACCTGAAATGTCTTACGTCCTTTTACTGTCTAATCTAATATCTCTAGCCACTCTAGCCTCTGCTATTGCAGAGCTTCCACACATGAAGAAGTTCCATTGCTTGCCTCATGTGATGTATTTCCTGGAGTCACCTTCCGTCTTTTGTGAAGCCACCATGTGAGCCACATCTTTGCCATTTCCACCTTTGTTTCCATATTACAAGAAATCTGACTTGACACCCTTGTTACAGACCCTGCTTACCAGCTTTCTTTCAGTTACTGTGTGAGCTATTGAGGCCTGAGCAAGGATGAGGGACGGACTGGCAGTCCGTATAAAGCAAAACTGTTGCAAGGTAAATTAATATAAGATTCTCTTCTTCCTCTGCAGTTCTTTGCTTGCTTGTTGGTGATATTTGCAGCTGAGGTCACTGCTGGAGTATTTGCCTTTATAGGCAAGAAAGCGGTAAGTAGCAAGCAACTTCTAAAGTAAGAATGGGGCAGTTATGGATTCCAGTGCCGACTGACCTACAGTGTGGCTCTTGCATAGGAAAAACTTTCCAGGAGACTTCTCCCAGGAAGAGTCTCTGACATTCTTATCTGGAGTCAATGAGAGTTTGTGTTATCACAAGTCCAGAATGGGACCCCCCTCTATTAAAGAAAATCTTTAGTACGTGTGGTTCAACCTTACATCCACAAGGAACATCAAGTAGAACTATATGATAAGAGGGTATTGCTTGGGAAAAAGGCAAACAAATTCAAGCATTGAACTTCTCCAACTAACAGTGTTTAACCAAAACACAGAATACAGAATATGTATACTCTGATCCATGCAGACTCCCTCTGAATGCCATCTGGCCACAAAACCTCCTATCTTTTCAATCATGGTACCTCAGTTTACCAGGCATAATTTTCTGCTCTGGAGGTTAATGACACAAGCTGGAAGTCTGCACTGGGTTGGGGGTAAGACTTATTTGCCACTCACTTGGAAAGTCTGATTTCTGCAGGCAATACAGGAAGCCCAGAAAATCTATGAAGACATTTATGATGACTATATGAAAAACCCGGGGGGGGAAGTCAACAGGACTATATATCACTACCACTTGGCTGTGAGTAGTCCTCCTGAGCTTTAACACCTTGCACTACTACTCTACTGTCACGTTACCCTTTAAAATTCAGAATGCCTCCAAATGAGGTATGAAAGAATAGTGTTACTCAAAATGGAGCCAAAGGCTTACCACCCAGTTTCCTGATGGCCCTGTCAGAATTCTGGTTTTCAGATCCCAAGTGATCCCTACCTTTGAGTGAAAATGGCCAGGCTTTTAAATTTCAGCTGATGCTTCTGGATTTTGCTGTGCAGAAGATACAACTATTATGGCCCTTTTGGATATTAAAATCCAAGAATAAATACTCAAAAATGCAGAGAGAGGTAAAAAGGTCTGAATCTCTCTGAATTTGTCAGAGAAAAAAATGTGACCCATGTCCCAGGACCTTCAATGTGACAGATCCTGTCACTGACTGAACCAAGTAAGCAAAGAACTAAAAGCAAATGTGTGACTCAGTTCAGGCCACCCAAAAAGTTAGCATCTGAATCAGAATTAAAACCTGTGACTTCCTGAATCCTATTTGTGTCCATCCTTTATCTACACTGCCTCCCACAGAGATCAAGCCCAAACTCTGTTGCTCCTTACAGCATTCCCACGTTCTTTAGAACAAACATTTCACAACCTCGGCCCCTTTTGTCCCTCTCCCATAGCTGTTATTTCTGACCCAAAGTGGAATTCCAAACATTTTGTGGGAGATAGGCAAACAGGAAAAACAAACCCTCTGAAACACTCTGATTTATTACTGTCTCCAAACCCAGCACTATTTTTTGTCAGAAATAAAGATTCTAGCATTCTCTGTTGTAGCTTTTGTGCGTTGCCCATAATTCTGTACGCGCTATTTGAACTTTCTGCTTTCTCCCTTTAACAACTCCTGTTTCCTTGTGAGCCAGGGATCTGCTTTTCTAAAATCAACTTGTTTCCTTTGTTATGAGATACAGTGATAAAAATCTCTTCTGAAAGTTGTTAATACAAATTTGTCTGTTTGCTATGGCTTCAGACAACTGAAACTGATTTTTGAGAATTTTGTCCCATTTAGTTGGAACTCTACCAGAGGCAGCAGTTAATATAGGGAATAAATTTATTACTTGATCTGTATTGTTGATTTTTTTAGCTATTTATTGTCTCACTTTCAGTATGAAACAAGTTTATAGTTTCCCCTTTTCCCCTTTTTGGATTCTTCACCTCTCTCTCTCTCTCTCTCTCTCTCTCTCTCTCTCTCTCTCATTTAGCTCCAATGCTGTGGTAAAGATAATATGGAACAACAAATGGGATTGCCCTGTCCAGAGAATATCCAGATGCCAAAGGCAAGTATCCTCTATTCTGGTTGTTCTAATCACTTTTTCGTTGTTTCAATTGTTTAGTAAAATTGGAGACATTCTATAAGTAAAAGAAAGAAAGAATTTCCTTTTTACCTTGCAAATTCTAGCATTAATTTCCATATGAAATGGAGCAGAGTGGAGGCAGAAATAAGTTGGAGGTCATATGGAACATGCCCAGCCCTCATTTCCAAAGCCTGCTTGTAGCATCCCATGGCAGCTGAGAGAGTATTGCATCATCTGAAAAGTGGGAAGGACATAGCAGAACAGGAGTCCTAAACAAAAAGCCCTATGAAAGCTGAATTTTGGCAAGTGCCTGCCTTAATCATGCATGGAGACTCCTCATTAGAAACTCTGTTGGTGTTAAGAAGGATACTGTTATTTCTGTCTGTCTTTTGTGGAATCTGCTTGTGAGTACCATGTCAATCTGAAGGGCCAAACTTCCTGATTTAGCATGGCCTGTCATATAAAGGGTTTTAAATTTAGGGAAAAGTGATTGCAAGAAAATGACTTGTATGCGTCAGCCTGTACAGGCAAGAGGTACAGAAAAGGGAATATCCTGTGAAAATTGTCCAACAAAACACAAGGCATAGATGCAAGAATTAGGACAGTGACGGAATAATATTTTTCATGTTTATTTTTTGTTTAGTGAGAACAGCTGATGGAGCTGGTTGGAGTCTATTTTTTTTAGGAGTAAAAATCTTTCAATTTTGTTTTTAATAGAACTGCCTGGTTGAAATCCAGAATGTAATTGATGCTAATCTGCATTTAGTTGGAATTATTGGAATTGCAATTGCTGGCATCACAGTGAGTAAATCCATGCTCTCACTTTCAAATCTGTATTTGAGCCCAGTACCCTATCCCTTACTCAAAGCTTTGCGGAAGGTGTTTTGCAGCAATTGGTGAGATTCCTCAAAGGTGCAGCTATTCTTATCACTTTCAGCGTCCTCTCTCTGGCAATTGCCCACATCGGTGCAAGCAGACTTGCGTGACTTCACTTTACCAGTTCATTCTGTGTCCTTAGACAGGGTCCAAAGTATCTAATGGTAATCTTACTTTGATGTAATAGTAGGAAAGCGGGGTGAACAGGAACCAAACTGAAAAGCAAAAGGCCATAGCAGCATATCATCTATTCCAAAACAACTGCAGACTGATGCTCTAGGCCCTTTGAGGATCCACTCAGATTTCATTAGGAATAGAGAGTACCTACCCTTTGTATAGAAATGGCTTTCCAAGAAAATGCTGGCTGTAACATTGGTTCAATGTGAAGCATAGATTATAAACAGATTTTCTAGGTCACGGATCCAGTGATCAGTATGTATTTTGTTAAAGGAACAGGATTTAAACTGCATAGTTTTTAGAACAGCATTTCTTTCCTGAATGTGTAGCACCTAGTTACAGGTAGCTGTTTCATTGAACTGTGTCATCAAAGCGTCAATAACTTTACTTACAGTCCACCTTCTCCCACAAGTGTGTATTGTTGAATTCCCAAGGTCTGCTCCTTCATGACAGAGCTGTGACCAATAGATGTCACCCTGCTGCAAGGATATGGCAGGAGTGGGCTGTCTGTATCAAACAGAGGCTTGAACAGAAAGCATTTTCCAGCACGCGTGTGCCTTGACTTCCTTCAGACTCGGAAAGCAGCAGCAGTCTGAAGCAGCATGAAGAGCCAGAATATTAGTAAAGAAATATACCTTTAGCTGCTCTGAAGAGCAGGAGGTTGATGGACTTACGTGGACACTTAAATGCAGATGAAGGGTTTATGTATGTAATAGAAACTGTAGTGTGGGTAAAGGGGATTAAACAATCCTGTGATTTGTGTAAAACGTGAAAGTGTACTCAAAAATACAGCAAAGTAACATGGGTTGGACAGAGTCCCAATAACCTCATTGCTCAACAAGGACACACTAGAAATATGAACATCTCTTCTATGGCTTCCCACCTCAGACACAGCAGAAGTTATGAAATTATAACCTCTTTAGCAACAGAAATATGTCTGTATATTCTTCTGTGCTTATTTCTGACACTTCATGGGGTATGTCTGGTCAGCTGTCTCCTTCTTCCTTAAGGGAGGTATGTGGGGAGAGGATATGAACTCAGTGGTTTAACTGCCCAATAGTATTGCTCATCTCCCGTCATTAGCAAGAAAGTGTCAGGAGGTAGCTGCTAACTGCTTTGGAGAATCAACCTGTGGCAAAAAAGAAATTTCTGGAGACTCTGGCAACACCCACTGTTCTCTGCTTTTAACATTCCCTCCAGTTAACTAGTTCCCTAACACGAACAGAGTTTTATATTTACCGTATAGACTTGGTCTTGAGTAGTAACTATTAGGAGCTTAGCTTTCTCTGTAAAACTGCAGTGCACCAGTTCCAGAGATCTGGTTCCCTTAGAATCATTCTCTGTTCTTATTCAAATGTTTATACAATGTTCCATATAGAAGCATTTTGAAACTCAGAACCATTTGATGCAATACTAGGCATAACATCAATAGTCACAGTTACTTATGTCAGGGAAATTTATGTTAATAATATTCATGTTTGGGGCTGTTATGCTGGCCGTATTTAGAACAAAGAACAGTGAAACTAGCGTGAGCAGATAAAATCCTGGCTTTGAGTATCAGTGAAATCTCTTTCATGTTAATTGTCTGATGTCTTGGAGTTTGTAGATGGAAGCAGTCACTTGCTACTCTGCCATAAGAACCATCAGATTGTTCTGGCATGCAGGTTATTTAATAACTGTTTTGTAAGTGGATTCCTAAATTGCATCCCTTCTCTTCTAGATCTTTGGCATGATATTCAGCATGGTTCTGTGCTGTGCGATCCGTAACACGAGAGACATGATCTAAAAGCACAACTATGTCCCAGGAGTTCCGGACTAAGCTTTACAAGAAGTGCTCTTCCACGCAATTTAATAATTGTAATGCATTTTCATTAGTGTCTTAACATACTGAGAGGAAAACACCCCATTACATGAGCAGGTGAATTGTATTAGCTACAGTAAAACCAAACTGAACAAAAAAGGGTTTTAAAATGTCCTTTTTAATGAAAAAAGCAAAGGTGCACCTAAGACTAAGTTGATTTTTAATGTTTGTATATGTGCAATTAAGAGTTTACACACCTATAGACATTGTGTAAGCACATGCATATCTCTCCTTACAAATATATATGCACATGAGCAGGCACCTGTATATGCAGTATCTCGTTTAGGTAAGTATGTGCAAATGGAGTATGTTGTGTGTGCATGTTTGCATGCGTATTCTTCCAGGGTCTCACTATGCAAGAGTGTACACACACCCATAAGTATACAGTGCTTGAAACCCTTTCATATTGAGCCCCTGTTTGCCAAGAATTAGCAGAGGAACAAATGCCATTTTAAAATTAATTTAATGCCAATTTTAAAAGACCTATGATCCATTTTTTAACTGTTCTTTCCAATGCCCAAACAGAGTAGAATTAATAAAATTGGACTTTATTTTTAAAAAATTAATGTCTAAGGGCCTGCTCCAGCAAACTTTAGTTCATATGAGTAGACCCATTGACTTCACTGTCATGCAGAGACTGGATTCTTTTTTTTTAGGACTGGATCCTTCATGCAAATGCAGAAAGCTCTGGGGGAGCAAACATGTCCAAGGAGATCCAGGCTAACGGAAGAGAGGTAAAGAGGTGGGAAGCTGGCAAGATAACGCAGTCATTTGGGAGCAATTGCAGTGCAAAGTGTACTTAAGCTTCCCAAGCTAGCCTGAGACACACACAAAACAAATCTATGACTTAAAGGGGCACTAAAATCTTTATTCAGAAGTCCCTTTATCCTGCAAGACTCTACATGATATGTAGACTCTACATGCTGGTGCAGGAGTGGAACCTATATCCAGAAAAGCGGCAGCTTTGTCAAATACTCTCTAGAATCTAACTGGCCTGTGGAAGCCAACTGAAGAGTGAAAATGGTCAGGGAAAGACACGCAGCACTTTAATATCCTCTGTTTCTGCTTCTGTGACTATCACAGCTTCCATGGGGCTCTTACCTCAACCTCTCACCCGTTCTTGTGGGTATAAGGCAGGAAAGAAAGATGGGACATTTTTACAGAGCCATAAAGTAAATTTTCTTACTGACACCTTTAGATTGCATGTCAGGTATAAAAATTATACTGTGTGCTTGAAATACCTCAAGGCTTGCGTTTACATATTTTGTTTCTATATTTTTATTTTTCTATTTGTCATATTTATTCATAAGAGAATGTTCCTTTTAAAACAGCCTAGAAGGGAGAAAGGTTGTCCCCAGAAGGGGAAAATAAATTACATCAAAGGCTCAGAATCTCTTAATTTTTCGCTTACTTGAGATAATTCACTATTTCAGAGAACACCTTTTGCTAACAATATCCACATAGCAGCTCTGTTTCTCTGATGATTATTAGGTCAGATTTCTGATGCAATTTTTCCATATATGATGGGGAAAATTTCAGCTAACCTAAGTACCTCATTGAAATGGTCCATGATGTCTAGCAGGGCATTTACAAGTCATGGGGTCTTTATTCCACTGAAACACAATGGAAAGAAATAGGATTTCAGAAAATGTTGTGCATTCTAGTGTGCATGTTTGTTGTGGAATATACATCCCTCATGACATTTATTTCTCATTTCCCAAAGAAATGCAAACTTACATCATGTTCCTGTTACTTCAGGATTGAAAATAGTGTTGCTGTTCCACGTATCTGATTTAATTGACCCATCTTGCTGTCTTTCATAGAATCATAGAATACTTTGGGTTGGAAGGGACCCTTAAAGGTCATCTAGTCCAACCACCCTGCAATGAGCAGGGACACCTTCAACTAGATCAGGTTGCTCAGAGCCCCGTCCAACCTGGCCTGGAACGTTTCCAGCGACGGGGCATCTACCACCTCTCTGGGCAACCTGGGACAGGGTTTTAACACCCTCGTTGTAAAAAAAGTCTTCCTTCTATCTAGCCTAAATCTGCCGTCTCTGAGTTTAAAACCATTATCCCTTGTCCTATTGCTACAGGGCCTACTATAAAGTCTGTCTCCATCTTTCTTACAGGCCCCCTTTAAGTACTGGAAGGCTGCAATAAGTCTCCCCAGACCCTTCTCTTCTCCAGGCTGAACAACCCCAACTCTCTCAGCCCGTCCTCATCGGAGAGGTGTTTCATCCCTCTGATCATTTTGGTGGCCTCCTCTGGACCCTCTCCAACAGGTCCATGTCTCTCCTGTGCTGAGGGCTCCAGAGTTGGACGCAGCACTGTAGGTGAGGTCTCACCAGAGCAGAATCCCCCCCCTCGACCTGCTGGCCAAGCTTCTTGGGATGCAGCCCAGGATACGGTTGGCATTCTGGGCTGCCAGTGCACATTGTCGGCTCATGTCCAGCTTTTCACCCACCAGTACCCCCAAGTCCTTCTCGGCAGGGCCGCCCTCAATCCCCTCACCCCCCACACTATTGATACCAGGGGTTGCCCCATCCCAGGTGCAGGACCCTGCCCTTGGCCTTCTTGAACCTCATGAGGTTCACATGGGCCCATTCCTCAAGCTTGTCCAGGTTCCTCTGCATGGCTTCCCATGTCTCAGGTGTGTCAACAGCACCACTCAGCTTGGTGTCATTTGCAAACTTGCTGAGGGTGCACTCAATCCTACTGTCTATGTCTCTGATGAAAACGTTAAAGAGTACTGGTTCCAACAGCGACCCCTGAGGGACACCACTTGTCACCGACACAGAGCCGCTGACCACTATCCTCTGGATGCAACCATCCAACCAATTCCTCATCCACTGAACAGTCAACCCATCAAGTCCATCTCTCTCCAATTTAGACGGAAAGATGTTGTGGGGGACTGTGTCAAAGGCCTTACAGAAGTCCAGATAGATGACATCCTCTCTTTTCAAACTTTTCAACCACAAACTGTGACACTGAGACAGCTGTGTATGCAGCACTAAATACATACACTAAATGCTGTGTATGCAGCAGGCACTGCCAACTGAGCAGTTTCTAGGCCTAGCTTCAGGTGTCCAGCTGACAGGGAGACATTATATTGTACACCAAAGAGCAGTCTTGTATCAGTCAGTTCACAACTGGTTAGAATTCAATCTGGCCATGGTCATAAGGGATGACAAAAAATGTTTTTACAAATATATTAACAACAAAAAGAGAGGCAAGGAGAATCTCCATCCTTTAATGGATGTAGGGGAGAACATTGTCACCAAGGACGAGGACAAGGCTGAGGTACTTAATGCCTTCTTTGCCTCAGTCTTTAATACCCATACTAAGTATCCTCAGGGCATTTAGCCCCCTGAGCTGGAAGACAGGGATGGAGAGCAGAATAAACTCCCCATAATCCAGGAGGAAGCAGTTAACAACCTGCTAAGCCACCTGGACACCCACAAGTCTATGGGGCCTGATGGGATCCACCTAAGAGTACCAAGGGAGCTGACAGAGAAGCTTACCAAGCCACTCCCCATCATACTAAGTATCCTCAGGGCATTTAGCCCCCTGAGCTGGAAGACAGGGATGGAGAGCAGAATAAACTCCCCATAATCCAGGAGGAAGCAGTTAACAACCTGCTAAGCCACCTGGACACCCACAAGTCTATGGGGCCTGATGGGATCCACCTAAGAGTACCAAGGGAGCTGACAGAGAAGCTTACCAAGCCACTCCCCATCACTTATCAGCAGTCCTGGTTAACCGAGGAGGTCCCAGACGACTGGAGGCTTGCCAATGTGACAACCATCTACAAGAAGGGCTGGAAGGAGTATCTGCGGAACCACAGGCCTGTCAGCCTGACCTCAGTACCACAGAAGATTATGGAGAGGTTCATCCTGAGGGTGCTCACACATGTGGAGAGCAACCAAGGAATCAGGCCCAGTCAGCATGGATTCATGAAAAGCAGGTCCTGCTTGACCAACCTGATTTCCTTCTGTGACCACGACCCATCTAATGGATGAGGAAAAGTGGTGGATGTTGCCTACCTGGACTTTAGTAAAGCCTTTGACACTGTCTCCCCCACTGGACTTGAGCAAAGCCTTTGACACAATTTCCCACAGCATTCTCCTGGAGAAACTGGTGGCTCATGGCTTGGATAGGCGTACTCTTCGCTGGGTTAAAAACTGTCTGTCTGGCTGGACCCAGAGAGTTGTGGTGAACAGAGTTAAATCCAGTTGGTCGGCTGCTACAAGCAGTATTGCCCAGGGCTCAGTTTTGGGGCCGGGCTTGTTTAATATATTGATGACCTGGATGAGGCGTTCAAGTGCTCCCTCAGTAAGTTTGCAGATGACACCAAGCTGGGTGGGAGTGTTGATCTGCTGGAGGGTAGGAGGGCTCTGCAGAGTGATCTGGACAGGCTGGATTAATGGGCTGAGGTCAACTGCATGAGACTTAGTAAGGCCCAGTGCCGGGTCCTGCACTTTGGCCACAACAACCCCATGCAATGCTACAGGCTTTGGGGGGGGGGGCCTTTTACAGGGGGGTGCTGGTTGACAGCTGGCTGAACATGAGCCAGCAGTGTGCCCAGGTGGCCAAGAAGGCCAACAGCGTCCTGGCCCATATCAGCACTAGTGTGGCCAGCAGGAGCAGGGCAGGGTCGTGTCCCTGTACTCGGCACTGGTGAGGCCACACCTTGAATCCTGTGTTCAGTTTTGGGTCCCTCACTACAAGAAGGACGCTGAGGTGCTGGAGCATGTACGAAAAAGGGCAACGAAGCTGGTGAGGGGTCTAGAGCAGAAGTCTTATGAGGAGCAGCCGAGGGAACTGGGGTTGTTTAGTCTGGAGAAGAGGAGTCTGAGGGGAGACCTTATCGCTCTCTACAACTACCTGAAAGGGGGTTATGGTGAGGTGGGTGTTGGTCTCCCAAGTAACTAGCGACAGAACGAAAGGAAATGGCCTCAAGTTGTACCAGGGGAGGTTTAGACTAGATATTAGGAAAAATTTCTTTGCTGGGAGTGTGGTCAAGCATCAGAACAGGCTGCCCAGGGAGGTGGCGGAGTCACCATCACTGGAAGTATTCAAAAAACGTGCAGATGTGGCACTTCAGGACATGGTTTAGTGGGCATGGTGGTGTTGGGTTGATGGTTGGACTTGATGATCTTAAACATCTTTTCCAACCTTAATGATTCTGTGATTAGCTATGGATGCCATGTAAAAGTAGGGCCTGGGACCTTACTCTGCAAGCATCAGACC